AGTAGAAAAACAAAAATACTTCCATTAAAAAATAAAACTCTTCAGAATTTGATTTCTAAGACAGTTGAGAATATAGTACAGCAACTGAATTTCCTTTTTAAGTGGATTAATACTGATCTATAATCCCTTATCTGGAATTTTTGGGCCAGGTATGTTTTAGAATTCAAAATTTTTCAGGTTTTAGAAAAGAAATATGGGAGCAATGTCAGGGAAGATGGTGGAACAGGAAGCTCCAGGAATCGGTCCCTCCACCAAAGTAACTACTGAGCTGGCAGGATGTGTGGAACCCCTTTCCAGGAGATGCAAGCTGAAAGAATTTAAAGAGACAAATCTTTTAAATTTTCTTTTCTTATTGGATCCAGGCATTTAAGGAACTCGATCTCATGCCACTGGCTGACCATGGAAATAACAGAATACACTTCGGTGACCACACATGACGAGGAATAAAGCCTTTGCACTCTGGACAACTGATGCCCTCAAAGAGCAACAATGGCAATCCCTGGGGTAGGGCGACAATCTGATTTCCTGAGTTGCCAGACTGCAATATTCAAAATGTTCTCTTTTCATCAAAAATTACAAAACATACAAAGAAACAGAAAAGTACAGCCCATTCACAGGGAAGAAAAGAAACTGACAGAAACCATCACTGCGGAAGCCGGACATGGGACTTACTAGTCAAAGGCTTAAAATTAACTGTCTTAGGACTAGACAGATCACCGAGACAGAAAATCAAAAAAGAAACACCAGACTTAAACTGGACTCTACAACAAATGGACCTAACAGACATTTAAAGAACATTCTATCCAAAAACTGCACAATATACATTCTTCTCATCAGCATATGGAACATTTTCCAAGATACCATATGTTACATCACAAAATAAGTCTCAATAAATTTTAAAAAGCTGAAATCATATCAAGTACCTTCCCAGACCCCAGTGGAATAAAATTAGAAATTAACTCCGTGAGGAACTCTCAAAACTACACAAAGACATGGAAATTAGACAACCTGCTCCTAAATGATCTTTAGCTTAGCGAAGAAATCAAGATAGAAATTTAAAAAATTTTTTTAAATGAATGGTAATATGAACACAACTTGCCAAAACTTCCAGGATACAGAAAAAGCAGCATGCTAAGAGGGGAGTTTATAGCGCTAAATGCCTACATCAAAAAAACCAGGAAGATCACAATTAGCAACTTAATATTATGTCTCAAGGAACTAGAAAAACGAGAACAAACCAAACCCAAATCTAGCAGAAGAAAAGAAATAACAAAGATCACAGCAGCAATAAATAAAATTGAAACCAAAAAATAATATAAAGGA